TTAGTCATATTTTTCTTGTGTACTTGAGAGCAGAGTTATTTTTCAGGTTGTAAGCTAATTAAATTTAGTCTTATTTTAAATATCATCAGGAGGTATTTAATCTGTCGGGACTACGTAAATAAGTTTTTCCCTAAAACTTGGTAATCTATTTAGAAGTCTAAGTTGCTGCAGACGGATTCGACCGAAGCCTCTAGAACAGGTGACTGCTCCCACCATTGGCTTGCCTATGCTCTTTTGCAACCATGCAATTACAAAACATGATCAATAATCTAATACATTTGATGGTGGGACTTCTGCACGCACGACGCCTTAGCTCACCCCAGAATATTCTAGCACAAACGAGATTCCATTGGTCAGTCTTGATAGAGAAATGGGGAAACATATTTTCGAAGGAATGTAATAGAATAACTTAGTCGGGTATTTGGTTCTTTTATTTCCTGAAAGTAGTCGAGACCACCTTAAATAGCTGAAGTGTTGAATGTAAAGCACACTATGTTCCATAAACTTGGCATTCATTTTGTATTAATTTTAATTGAAATCTCATTGAATGCCATATCTTTCACAATTTAACAAATCCATATTTTTTCCGCTTTAACCAACCATTATTATCAAATTTACTCTATCACTTAGACAGCATGGTGCCTAGTTAACAGGGCCCAAATATGATAATTGAAAAATAACCTTTCTTTTATCAGCACATCTTTGTTCGCACCCACAAAGTTGTTCATTGGACAGAATGATTCAGTCTTATTTCCTAAGAGAGGTAGCTTTAGACGAAATCATTTTCCACGTAAATGATTTCAAGGACTCAATTTTAAATGTCAAAGTTCAGTATTATTATTTTCATTTTGTTAAACCAAAATATAAATAACAAATTATTATAATTACAATGTGATCATATGCATAATTATATATGAGCATCACGAACGAGGCGTGAAATTTGATTTATATGAAAAAAGTCACGTGCAATTTTAGCGCAAGTAGGAAGCATTTAAAATTGTTGCTGAAAGAATATACACCTACGATAAAAATATACCGGTCAAACACAAGAAACATGAAATCAGTTAATCTACAAGAAATTTGGTATCTTTATTGGAGTAACTTACTCAGCTTATTTCATTCAAAACAAAAAACTGACAATTTGTTTGTAAATAAATGCGATTCACCTGGTAAGACAATGGTTAATTCATGGAGTTTAAGTAAATGCTAATTGAAATGCTGAGAATTTAGAATGTGGAAGATAATCAGCTTATTCATTTACGCTTCCATTATTAAGTCGAATTCTGTGAGTAATTACAACCTTTCACATGTCCAGTAACCAGATTATGATCACATTAAATTCTATCAGAGTTTAATTTTTTTTCAAAAGTAATTGGATAAAGCATTCAATTCAAATGGAAGAAAAACAACCATTTAGTGAATAGATCAGTCCATTCATTGTTGATAGAGTTGCGATTGTGCAAGATGGTGGTTTACTGCCAAGGGTTATTATTAAACACCGTAATTTTATGATATTAACACAAATAGCATTGAAATTGAGGTTAAATTTAATTCAAATGCCCTAATAACAAGCTTTTCTCTAAGACTATTGTCACTATAAACAACTTTTTACCAAAGTAGGTAAAATAGCGAATGAAGCAAAAAGCATTTCTTTCAGGAAACTTGCACTTGATTTTCTAAACTATTTTGAGAAAGAAAAACTGTCAACTTTTCTTTATAGTAACAGAAACAACTACTTTTGGAAGCAATTAAGTCAATTATTGGTTGTCAGTGTATGGGCATACAATAACACCTTAAAACTCTTGCCAAAACCAAGTTGTTTATTTTTATAACTTTTGTCTTTCCCCAAAAGGTTCACTAAAAGGAAATTGGCAAAAAATGTTTTTTAGTTGACTCGGATGAGAAAGTCATCTACCCATTTATATTTCACTTGCAAAATAATGAGTATACAATATTCAGATTTCCTTGCAAAGTGAATTTTGTGCACGAAAATAATCAATCTGCATACCTGTTTTTTCATTAGATAGGCTATTCATTTCAAACATTACATAAGTATTCCAATTATTAATTATCCCATAAAACATGATATTAATATTATTACCATAGTGTAACAATTTGCCATTGCATTATTTGATAGGTTCAAATATACTACTGAATTATTTAATTGCTACTTATAATGGATGAATCGATTTCTTAAATGGATTATCGCCAATTGAAGACACTAAGACAGCTGCGTGCGACAAGATTTTTTTTTGGTAAGAGATTAACTTACATTCCGCATAATTTTAAGCAGATTGTTCATCTACATTGTGGGCGGAAGTTGGGAGCCTCTTTCGCTCCTTACCGCAATTATTCTTAAAAATTATTCCTGAGCATGATTATTGCTTTTGAATGCATGCAGCTCGTTGTGGTAAATTTACACGGATATGTTTCCTCAATTTTTTGTATAAAGTGCTAGCTCTCAAAGAATGATCTCTATTTCAGCGCATTTATTTTTGGCTTTAAAAGGAGATGCCCAAATTACTGAATGTCGAATATATTTTGACCTGCCTAGTCTAATTTAACTGAGCATATTAGTGCAGTTAATTGATGTCCGACGTGAGATATGGGATTCAAATTCCACTGACAGAAAGGAATTTGAGTGGAGTTATAAAGCGTGAAGCAAGCAAAGTTTGCGTATAGGTGACACTTACACGTTACTGTCAGAATCACTCTTTCCTCATGTACAATGTTCATAAAAGGGCTCGTGTTATAAATTCCAGATGGTCTGAGGCCTATTAGAAAAAATGAAAAAAACTGTTGAAACCGCACTAGAATTTAAAGCTTAACGCTTTTATCTGCTTTCCACTTTAATGACGCAATTCTGTTTGAAAAAGATTTATTCACCCGACATCATTATCCTCTTCATGTTCTATTGCGTGTTCGCATAATTACCGTATTATATTGATTCTACTTGATTAAGTCTTTGAGCTGTTTTTTTCACAACATTAATTGCTTCTTCTAACATTTTTTTATTTCAGAGTTACTTGAAAAAGAAAATGAAAGACAGCTTGGTAGCAGATAAGTTGAAGGTATTTCAAATAATTTACTCAAATCTTCCGAACTTCCCTCGATAGCATTAAAATATAATTTATATATTTTAAATGGCAGGCGTTTTGATAGTTATCATTAGCCCTTTAGCTGATTTCGGGCTTCACAGGGGGAATGAACATCAAAGTAACAGAAAGTCGAGGGGTGGGGAACAGAAGAGTGATTTACAGATGTAAAGAGACAGACACGAAGGCAGAGAAAAGGATGAGTACTGTGGAAGTGGTAGAATATGGCATACAGTTGGGCCATTGTAGTTTTAAGCCAGAAGTTAATCGCCAGTTAATAGACTTTTTTGCCGTATGAGTACACGTTGCCCATGGTGCACCACGTGGAGGTGAGTCTATCACGCACCCCAGCATTAAAATATTAAGCCGGAGGAGATAGTACTTAAGATTCTTTAAAACAGCACATGGTAAACTATATTGAATGAAATATATATTTGATGTGATTTGAAAGTTCCAATTGAATAATCATAATAATTTCCATTATTATTATTGTCATATGTAAAACTTAAATTTATGAAAATGCATATTTGCTTGGCGTTGGGAACAACCAATGTTGTTTTGTAGATAACCAAATATAAATTAAAAGTGTTAAATTTTTCGCATAAAGACTAAAATTCTTGACTTTCCTAACGCACGATTAATCAATTCGAAATTTCCTCATCAAGTTAACTACCAACTTAAACCACCTTATTTCCATCATGTCTACTTGATCTTAGCGATGGCACTTCTCTCTCTTCTCTTTTAATATTTATAAATCTGTTTTTTAATCAATTCGTTCACTCATCTTAAATTGATAGTCTTAAAATTTCCTATTAAACCCATATTAGTTCTGATTTCGATTGATGACAATACGTGCAGAACATGTTTTACAGAAAAAGTATTGAATACCGAAGGATAAAGTGGAGACAGAGTGAAAATAAATCGAGCACAGTGCACGGCTTTAGTGAATGCTTTCAGCATAAAGATTGACACACCATTCAAATGATGAAATCCTTTGAAAATGAAGCGAGGCGTTTCTTTAAAATAATGAATCCTCCATAAAAATCGATTGGTCTTTCGATTAATATTTTCACACAGTAGTATTCCATTAATTTCAATGGTGCTTCATCACATGGCAAGTATTTGCACATTATCGACTCTTTATTTCGTTTTAGAGAATGATTGTATAAGCTGCCTCCCAATGGCAAGTATTTCGCTTTTATGCAAATGAAATCTAAGACGAATTAGTGGAAATGGCTTTGAAAGTATTTAAAATATTTACTCATCAATTGCAGTTTTAATAATACCGAAATTAATAAACACAAAAGGAATGCAACAGTTAGGATAGAAAGGGAACGAAGAAGAGAAATCCTTCGACTCGTAATCAGCATACGGTTACATAGCGAAGCAACTATGCGAACGTTAGAGAATAATTTAAGTCCTTTCAAAAGCTCAAAAATTGAGAGAATATTGAAAATGGAATGATAAAATGAGGTTAATGTAAATAAAAATTGAGAAAAAGAACAAATTTTCCAAGATTGCTTTCTAAAGCTTATAAATCAACAACAATAATTTGTTTTATACCGGTTTGTAAGAATGAACACAAATTAAAATGAAGTTAAAATTTACGGATCTTCTAATAGCTACACACAAGATGGGTTTCAACCACATCGGTAAATTTTATATCTCAGTGAAAATTAGATTGAATATCCCAAGAAAAGTAGATAAAGTGTTTAAAAATCTCAGAAATTTAAATAAATAAATGGCCACTCAACTTAAAATATGAACCATGTACATCGAGTAGATCAACTATCGGAGGTTGAACAAATAGATACTTACTTTTAAAACATACACCAATTATTGATGTCTTTAAAAAAGAATATATATATATATATTTATGCATATAGATATATGTATATATCACAATCAGAATGGTTTTCGACCTAAGGGAAGAGTTGTAACGTTGATAACATTGGGAAGGGCGCTTTGTATAGTTGTTGCTGGTGGTTTCTTCTTATGTTGAGGTGAAGTTCTGGATTTCGTCGGCGGACATGGAGGCTCATCAAGGACAGATTTCTTAAAGTCGAGGAAAAGTGGAACACGAAGGAATCGTTGATAGGAGTCCTTCTCCATAAGAGCTTGAATTTTGCGTTGAGCGTTATCGAATAGGTGGACGGTTGGAGTGGATAGTAGGCTGATTGTGCTAAGACGAGTTTTGGAATCAAGATTCACCTGGAATAAAAGATTATAGTACTAACTCAGACCTCTGCAACATTAAGACTGCTAACTCTTGAATTCTGTATGGAAACACTTAGTCTTCGCATTTATTGGAGGGAGATATTAATTGAATTGGTTGGATTGATTCTATTTGGTCCAAGAATGGAAAACGGGAAAAATGGAGGAAATAAGTATAAATATGCTCTCCAATGTAGGTGAATAACAGCACAATCAGGAATTTTAAAAGGTAAACACACAATTTATTACATATTTGTCAATTTAAAAATATTAAACGTTATGGTCGACACTTTTTTGTAGGCCGATTTCAATTATTCTCCAAGATTGAAATAGTTCAAAAATTTTCGGAATTACGACAGCTTCATTTCCAACCAAAGTTGCTCATAAATTTGAACCCGTTTTGCAGTTACTTTACTTCTCTGCATGACTCATGTCTAGAAATTAATGGATATGTTTTTTTATAGCCCAACTATAAGTATTTTTCGGTGTAATGACGTTCCTCGTGTTTGCTTTAATATATATATATATATATATATATATATATAGCTATGGAATTTGCTTGCTTCCTATGTTTTTGAGGTAATTGAGTTCATGAAGGGACAATAATTTAGTTGGCATTTTCCTTTCTAAATATGTATCACCTTAAACTAGAATCGAAGTGATTATAGCTTCCCTCATTAGTTACAGCACATGTATAATGTGGGTGAATTACAATCAATTTGCTTACGTTTTATAACTTCATTTAATGGCAAACGCATAGAGTTGTTTTATACTTATCAATCATATTAATCAATGCTAAATCAACTTCAAAGGCAAGCAGTGAAAAATTCGTGAAAGTGTCAAGTCGAAATAGTCACAGACATCCCGAGTATATTAGAGAGTGCTTCTCTTGGATTAAGAGACGCCAGTGCACAACCAAATATTGCAAAATATTTCCTTACATTTACTCTATTCCATGCCCTTTTTTAATGCACTATACTATTAAATTTTTTCCGGAGTATTGCAGGAAAATGAAATTGTAGAAATTAAGGTAGTATTGACTCAAAGTACTCCACAAAAGTAGACTTACTTCACGGGGTGACTGAACTGAGAGGTAGAGTTGGTAGATTTTTTGAGCCTCCTGGGCCAAGTATTTTGCCGGGAGGCGACGATAGTTCTCGCAGGCCTCCCAAAATTGGATGTTCTCCTGGCTAAATTCGCTTTCCAGAAATTTTTCAAACAGCGCTAATCCATCTAGGAAAAAATGACACAAAAAATGAAGGAATACAGGCTTTAAATGAAAAGTGTATATTGGCTGCTATCATTTCGCACTTTATTTTAATAAATAATTAAATATTTGATTAATAGATGGTATTAAATAGTGCCTTCAGGCAATTCTGCATCTAATTAAAATGGTAACTAGTAGAAGCCCTATAGTCTTTCAAAAATTTTAAATTTGGGCTTGATATTGATTTATTTGTTTTCAATATGTGAACGATCTGTCACGTATTAAAATAAGTTCATTTTAATTAAATATCATCATAAAATATAATTTAGGCAGCAGAAAGCACAAGAAAGGGGAATTATTTTGACACCACATTTTCACTATACATGTTTGCCACCGTGATTAAATTAATTATTCAGGAATTACATTGTAGCACCAAACAAAACACCAAATCAAGGAATTTTAAATCATAAGTTGCATTTTGTCTGACAAATATATATTTATTTAAATAATTTGTCTTTTACTTACAATTATTATGGACATTTCATATTTTTTGCCAATTCAAGGACAAATTATTGAATTCTCTTTCATTCTTTACCATGAAAAAATAGTTAATGTGCGTTTGGAAATAGCGGCTAAATCTGGAATGTTGAAGGTTTCTAAATTAGTGATATTGGGTTATTGATTTTGGAAAATGCTTATTTATAAATATTATTTATATTATGAACCAAATAACTGGTTTTGTGGATTTGAACTCAACCTAAATACACCAAAGTTATCCCGAAAATTAACAAATGAAATTAAAAATGCCGAATCAATTTACAAATAGTATGTGAAATTATCTCCATTTTGACATTTTCCGCTCCTTTGCGTTTTAAATTGGTTCTGTTTAATTATTGGATATAATTTCATGGTCTTTGCACACATAATTTCCGATTTGCATGTCAAATTTATTCATGTATAATTGGCAATGGAACGGTTTCTTGTAATGTATCTTAAATACATCTTGATTTGGTGTATGTTTAAAAACTTGTATGCAAGATCTGTTCAACACTGAAACACTTAATAAAGTTATTTGTAAAATGTGGCTTTATTTTGAACTGAAGATGGAAATAAAGTTGTCCAAACTTTAAATGAGGCTCATCTAATTTATTGGTGAAAAAATTTAAAAACAACAGAACTATTTAGCATACTGGAGGAAACATAGTAGGCCTTTGTGTAAATATTGCGAGAATATTCATGCATAAGAAATGTGGCGCGAATCAAATTAAAATTGACGTCATTTGTGCGCGATTATTTACAACTCAATGTGCACATGAACCGCAAACATAATAAGAGTGAAGTGTACAATCGAAAAATGAAATAATATTTGGATTATTGTTTATTACAACTGGATAAATAAAAAAGAAATATTTTCAATCTTTTCTCTTATAATTGGGGCGAGGGGGGGGGGAGGCAATATGTATTCAACGGCGGTTTTTGAAGGCAAAAGTTATGAATGATGATAAATTATTAATCCAGTAAAAAAGTCATTAAAATGAATGCGAAATATAACCTGTATTATTAAATTAACTGTGAAATGGCTTGAAACAAATTTAACATGTCAGATGAACGAATTGAAAATGCATTAATTTTCAAAATAAATTAAATAAATTTTACTTTTTAAATTGTTAAATTTTTGCACAATTTTTAAAGGAAAGAGATCAGTTTGATATCGATTTTAGTGACATTTCAGCCAAATTTCACTATAACTGTATCATTTTAGGCCTTAGTTAGCAATAATTATTTCAATGTATTAATAAAATTTATGACTTAAATAGGTAGCAATAAATTATTACACCCAAAGTGCAAGCCAACCTCACAGGAAAGAGGGCCTGCGCTGTAAGGTTAAATGCCAGCCCGGGATTCATGAACGAGGGATGAAAGCAATTACCTGGGTCATTTAAGAGGAAGCCAAAGTTAGTCTCCCAGCGACGTATCTGTTCAGCTGTGACCTTTTTTAAATGAACCTTCTTGACCCTAAAACTTGCAGCAATATTTTCATCACTGGAGACACGCTGAAGTCCTTTAAAAGGCACTAGCGGTTCTAGTACAACATCCCATGGATTTTTCCTAGGCGGGAGAACAACGGGAATGCAGTTGCGAACGGTGTTTTGAAGAGCAAAGAAAGCGCTGTTGTAGGTGAGTTGATTTTTCCCCTGAGCGCCTTTCAGAATTGTTAATTCCGCTGGTGCTGGTCCTTTGCTCTGTGATTCGGAATCCTGGGCTGTTGCCACTGTTGTGGCTGGAGTAATTTCGCTTGTTTCAGAACTGTAAAAATTAAAATAACACTTAATTTATAATTAAAACATAAAAATAAAACCTGTCAAAGATGCTCGATGAATTTAATTAACAATCATAAGATAAGACAGTAAACTATATATTAAAATGTTATGTATCATAAAATTATCACGAAATAAGACCAACTTGCCAATGAGAGATCGCGAATAAAATTCAAAAATACTCAAAAATATGATAAATTAACATAAATTATCAAAATTAAAATAGAAATAATTTTTGGCTGTGAATACTTCAACTTCTCACTAAAATAAAGAAAAGGATAGTTTTTTCTCTTTCTTTGTGTGAGTTCGAATAACCTTAAATAGGCATACGTAATTAAATTAGTTGAACTACATTTTTGAAAGAAAGCACCCTTTTGAAAACAGTTTTTTTAAATAAAATTCCAACAATATATTATTTTTAATCTCAACTTCAATTTCGACTATCAAGCACAACAGATGTCAAGAGCATTAAAAAAAAGTTCTAATAAAACACAATCTCACCTCGAATGACTTTTATCACCCATTTCTTGATTGCTCGTTTCAGATAGAGTTGATTGTGGTCTATCAAGGCTCTATGCAAACATGACCCTTAAATCAGAGCAAAATATCACCAAACATCAGGCGTTTTGCATTCTCTCCTGTGTGTGGATGAAATCTGGCCAACCATTGGCTGTTTGCAGTGACCAATAATAGTAAAATATCATGAAAACTGCAACCAAACACTACTAGCATTATATAAGCTATTTTATCTCACCAGTGCCTACAAATAATGTTTGCTAGTATTTATAGCTACCCATTTGCTCTGTTCCTTCAGCACTATTGCCTTCTCTGCCTATTGTTGTGCCAAAAAATGGCTGAAAGAGGACTTTAATGATTTACGGCTGTTTTGTGTGAGAGTAGAATTCCATTTAGCTGAAATGCAGGAAAAGATGAACATTCTCCTACTCTTTTTAGCTTTTATTGGATTACTACGAAGAGAATGAAGATTTAACTACTCTTAGTAATTTATTGACATGATAATTATATAAAATATTCCTGTTTTTGTGTGGAAATACTGTACTTTAAATGCCATTGAAATTGCATTCGAGATGGTGAACTAGTTGCCATTGGATATTTAATTATCTACCGGGAAATATGCCTAATTAGAGCTCATTTCATGCAATTTCTAGTAAATACACACTTCTATTGTCTTACACTTTTCAACTAATATAAGAGCTAAATTATTAATTTCTGTTATCTTTCTTTTAATTCAACGCAGAGCATTTGCAGATTTTGTTTAAATCACTTCATATAATAGTAATATAGCTTTATTTTATAACACCGGGAACAGTTCTAACTTTCGTTTTCTTGATCGGTGCCAAATTGCTAGCGCTTAGTAATTCTGAACCCAATTAAAAACTATCATCATAACCCACACATAATAGATTGATAATTGGTTATGTTTTGAACGATTTCGTGAATCCAATTTTAATATCTTGAAAATTGGTGATCTCGGCTTTGGAAGCAACACAGTAGGCGTAGAAGGTGATTGAAGATTTCCGTTGGGTGGAAGCACGGATTTGTCTTAATTTCTAAGCTTTATAAGTCAAAATTGTGACTATTTACCAGGTGTTTTATCACATGGATGAGTCGATAAAACAGCCTATTGCCTAAGACGTAAATCACTCCAAGAACACTGTGGAAATTGGGGTTAAAATGCAAAGCAAATAAATATTGTGTGGATGAAATAAATAGAAGTTAAGGTACACTAACTACAACCTGCACGCCAAATTATGAAGTAAAAAGTTGACTTTGTAAAAAAGAAGATTACTTAAATTCCAAATCTACCTAAATACACCCTTTTATCAGAAATCAAAAGCGCAAAGCTAGATACAATCATCAAATTCGTTTTAAGTGACTCTGGGTAATAAATTAACCTTTAGCGAACCCATTTAGAGTTTTGCGTTCAAGGATGGTAAAGGAAGTAGAAGATGAAGAGGAAATGCAAAAGCAGCAGTATAATTTTGGTCAATGTGTTTTTTGCGACTGGAGAAAGTTGACTAGAGCATGTGATTGAATGGTTGGCAAGTACTGCAATTTTAACTATGTTTCATTTTTCGGACTAGCAGTTTAAGTAATGAAAGATACTCCTATTGGCTGAGATCAATCCCTATTATATATCCCATCAATATCACGAACATATTGAGCGTAATTACGTTCAAGGGACATTTGGGTACTTTAGATAAGTCATTATTTATTGCGAAATAGGTAGAAAAACATTTATTTATTTATCTATATCAAATGGCAAGCGTTTTGATGGCTATCATTAGCCCCTTAGTTGACTTCGGCTTCACAGAGGGAAAGGAACATCAAAGTGAGAAAAATTCGAGAGGGGGAGCAGAAGATAGATTTAAAGATGTAAAAGAGACAGACACAAAGGTAGAAAAAAGGTGAGGTGAGTGCTGTGGAAATAGTCGAATATGGCATAGAGTGAGGTGATTGTAGTTTGAAGTGAGAAGTCAACTGCCAGTCAATAGACTTTTTTACCGTATGAGTATACGTTGCCCAGGGTGCACCACGTGGAGGTAAGTCTATCGCGCACCCCGGTTGAAAAACATAATTTAGGAAGTCTGGAAGTCTGGAGGAATTTAAAGAACAGAGGTTTCACACTTAGCCTTTGTTTTCCCTAATTTATGTCCTTACAACTAATTACCTTAAGCGTAAAGTGTTCTATTTAGTAAAACCTTTTTCCTCAATTCCCTGTCTACTTGTGGCTGGACGAGTGGTCTATTAATTTTTAACTATGTTTGATCAATTATAAACTCCCTCAAAACACATGCATTTCAATGCAGACTGCGTATTGGAAAAAAATCGCATTAGAATAAACATTTAATGCATTCATTTCTTTTCCTAATGTAGTTTCCCTATGAATTTTATTTAATTTAAATCAACCTTAGATTTAAAAATGGAGGAAGAGGAAGGGGGATGCTTTGAAACCAATTTTTTTTATATTAATAGCCTATATTCACGCATTTCAGAGAATGCCAAGAATAGTAGTCACATTATAATATATTAATGGCTTATTTAGCCTTTAATCATTTCAGTAAATCAGTCCTGCAAACTTTTACAGCAAGAAGTTGGCATTAATCAAAATTAAAAACAAAACTTTCTAAATGATCTATTCAGATTAGGTGTGTTTATTTTTATTTGAAAGGTAGAAAAATAAATTTAAATAAAGAAAGAATCTTAATTAAAAATGGTTGAAATCAAACTATTATTTCAGAGGTTGAACCAGTTTTCAAGACACCCGATTTCTTCATTGTTTACATCGTTTTACTGGTTCAATGTATCATCCGCTTGGCTAGCAATTTTTTTCTAAGTCTTATCTTGCTAACCGTGGCAGAGCAGAATGATTCCCTTCATCTTGCGTCACAAATCAGAGCTTTGGTCATACCCGATAGGTTTCAACACGTCACAATCTACAGGGTGTCTTTTAAGCTAACAATAAACTTGACAACATTGTCTTATATTAGGCTTAATTATATTTATCATTACCCTCTTAGTTTATAGAAGGGGAGGTGGGGGACATATATATAGACTTTAGGACAGTTAACAGTAGATCATTAGTTGATTTCTGGCTTCCCAATGTCTCTGGGTTTCTGTTGTTGTCTTTTGGGCTGGACACCGAATCAAGTGGGTCTTCTCCATTTCCTCCTGTTGGTTGCATAGGGGGCATGTGGGTTGAGTGTATACTCCCAATTTGTGAAGGTGTTTTGATGGTTGAGTGTATACTCCCAATTGTTGCATAGGGGGCATGTGGGTTGAGTGTATACTCCCAATTTGTGAAGGTGTTTTGCCAGGCAATCGTGTCCGATACGTAGTCTAAACTCAATAACTGCTTGGATTCTTGGCCAGTCAGCTTTGTTGGACAGTGCCGATGTCCACTGTATCCTCTTCGTTGGAACTTTAAGTTCGTCGTTTTATCTTATATAAGGTATATTGAATATTTATCATGCCAACAGGAAATTTTCGCCTCAGCTACTGCTCTGAAGATAAAAATTTGTCAGTAACCCCACTGCATTTTTACTAAAAATCGCACTTTCGGAAAAATTAGAACCGCTCAAGGACTTGAAAATGCAACCGAAGCAATCTAAAGGAATGGGGACCAGCCAACCGTGAAAACTGAAATCCATTCAGTTGTTATTTAGGCGACGTTAATAGAGTGGAGTACTTTAAACGTTTTCATTCATTGAGGCTCTATTGATAAGGAATTAGAGCATTCAATTCGCATTTTCAAAACAATTTTTCCTTTAGGGACAAAGCCATGAATAATTCGCCTATTCGGTTAAACACTTTCAACCCATAAACAGCAAATATGATTATCGGCAGTGTTTCTTGAAAGGAAACAAATTCAAAGCAACGGCATATTTTCGTAAATTTCAGCTTTGCAAATGTTTTCATTAATAAAGGATTAAAGTATTTAGAAAAATGCATTTGAATTCAGGGAGGGTGTTGTGAATAATTTTGAAAGACTCTTGGCGTGCTTGGGCCACATTTTAGGTTATTGTACTATTTACAACTCTTTCAAGTTGTTCTGGTCATCGGGTCTAGAAAGAGGGTTTACCGTGCTTCCCCACACTGAGGATTGAGATTATTTATATATTTAATCGCATCAAATGGCAGGCGCTTGGATGGAAATCATTAACACTTTAGCTGACTTTAGGCTTCACAGAGGGGAGAAACAGCAAAGTGGTAAAAAGTTGAAGGCGGAATAGAAGAGTAATTCACAGATTGAAAAGAGACAGACAGACAGACACAAAGGTAGAAACAAGGTGAGGTGAGTACTGTGAATGGGGTCAAATATGACATACAGTGGGGTGATGGTAATTTGAAGTCAGAAGTCAATTGCCGGTTAATAGACTTTTTGCCGTATGAGTATACGTTGCCCAGGGTGCACCACGTGGAGGTAAATCTATCACACACCCCAAGGTTGGGATTATAAACTCATAATTAGGTAACTGTTGCTGCGT